TCGGTTAGGTAAAGCTTGTGGAAAATGAAATTAACTCCATCTGCGTCCATCATTCGCGTTTAATTGCATCGCCGAGTGCAACCGAAATTTGATTAAGGAAAAGGAAAAAATAAATTACAATTCTCGGGAAATTGTTAAATCGTTTAATTGGCCAAGGCCAGCGGGGCAGCAGCTGGCGAGTTAACAAGATTTGCAATCAACTAATTTAACTTTTTAAATTAAAACACAAACTTCAGCTGAATCTCGGTGGAAGACGGAGTTTGCCTAGGTTCAAAAGTTCACAAGTTCCGGGGAATACATGAGGAATAAAGCGCCTGGAGTATCGCGGAGGCGATGAAATCTCGGCATCTGATGAAAACTAATGGAAATTTCGGCTTGAGTGACCGCAGGAAGGTTGAAAATCAAAAGCTTACACAAGTACATTACTGTTTCTCGATGATAACAAATATTTAAAAAGAAGCAGAGCCATATAAAATGATTGAAGAACCATGGAGAAAGAGAAGGTCACTCTTCTGTGGATGTATGTATTTACGTTTAATCTATGAGCAAGAACTACCAATAAGCGCTACAGAGAAGCATAATTATCATACTTAATAACATTTCCACAGAAAAGCAGCCAACTTTGTGAAATTAAACATTAAAACCAATCAAACTGTCATGCAATACCGTTTGATATGAGGAAGATTGGACATTTGCAAAGCATTCCCAGAATGATGCAAATTTAAGAGAATTTCTATTGCGGGAAATCGATGTGGAACATACATTCATACAGAACAGGCCCCCACATAAAAACATACAAAGTGAAGCCTCCATCAATCATACGCAGCGTGAGCCGCCTCTGTAGATGCTTGGAAGCCCTGACATGATAATCATACGCACCGCGACCGCAGCCGCCGACACCGACAACGTCAAAAATATTCCAAAACCTTTGATATGCAAATCAGGCTAAATTTCCCAACATAAATCCAAATCAAAATGCAAAGGCACACACACACACACTCACCTTTCTCTACTGGGAGGCGGACAGGCTTGTGCCTGTTGTTCTTGATGTGGCGCCTGTCGGTTGCCGTTGGTTCCTGTCGGTTCCTGCCGCTTGTTGCTTGTTGCTTGTTGCTTGTTCTATGCTGAAAGAACCTGATGCCCTCCCTCTTGCTGTGATTGTGGTTGTCGTCCAATTGAATCAATTCAACAGAAATTTGCGGAAAATTCAAACAAAAAAGAATGGAAGGTAGGGAAAACAACACGGAAAAGAGTGAGAAATGCGAAATGCGTGAGATTTCATTCAGATAAACTTGAACTGCGAGTCTTTGCCGATAGCCACACTCCCACCCCGCCGTGGTGTACGCGAGCGTGTACGTGTGTTGGGGTTACATATGGTAATTTGGTTGGGATCTGTGGGGCTTGTTGCACGCTGCTTAAGGGAAAGGACAGGGTCACGGCCGTCTCGATGCGGGACTGGTATTGGTCTGTGTCTGTTTCGGGGGATTGGCAATGGACAATTTATAATCACATTTTCCAATCTGCAGTCGCGCACGATTGAATTAGTCGAGATTTTTCATTTCGCTTTTCCTCTATCGCGTTTTATGTACTTTTTACTTTTTGTTGCTGTCTGAACTTATAATTTAAGGCATAGGTTTTTTAGTTTCCTTTTTTTGGCAGATGTGCCCCACAAGCGCATAGTCGAATAATTTTTTGTGTGTTTTATTAAACATGTGCCAAACAAATTTGATAAAAAATATATGCAGAATACATATACATATACATAAATAGTATACATACTATTTGGTAATTTATTTTTTTGTTAATTTCGGTCTTTCCTGACTATGGTTTTGCACTTTGAATCCTTTAAGTCCGTTGTGGCAACATTGTTGCTGCAACTTATGTTTTCTCTTGCACTTGAACTAGTTTTTCCATTCAGCGATTTTCCGCCCTTGCCAACCCACCCACCCCATACACACTAACACGCACTGATAACGGTATCGCTTGGATTGCTTGTTCTCGGAGGGAATGCTCGGCTCCGCTCCGCTCTACCTTATGCCACGTCCGCCTTCGGAAGCCACTGTACAGCAACTGTTGCAACTGTCGAAAAGGCAACTTGTGGCTGTCTCTGCTGCTGATGCCTCTCGCAGCATCTTTGATGGAGCTTTCTAGCAAGCTTTCTGCCGCCACACAGCAAACTTTCCCCCCACCGTACAGCAAACTGTTGATTATACCCGATACACAAAATGAGTATAAGGGTATATTGGATTTGTGGTGAAAATGTATGTGTGTAACTTCCAGAAGGAATCGTTTCCGACCCCATAAAGTATATATATTCTTGTCGTCGTCTGACGGAGCAGAGCCATACCACTAACCATGCAGTATATACAGTATGGTTAGTGGCCATACTGACTTAGTATCGGTTATAAGTGTAGAGTTGCGGTTGCCGCAGCAACTCACAAAGTCCCCCTCGTTTTTCTATGTGTGAGTGTGCTTGGGCGTGTGTGGGTGTGTGTCGTTCCCAGGAAGAGAGCTCACGAGAGAGCCACCTTCTTTGGCGGTCAATTAAGCTCCATTGATATGTTTTTGCCGTTAACAGTAATTAACGGTTATTATTGAAGTACTTTAAAGATGGGAATAAATTTAATTGATTTTTGTAGTAAAATATAGAGAAAATCCAGAATTTAGGTATAAAAAATATGTACAGATTTACTTTATTGAATTCCGTGCACTCACACCCGATTTGGCATATAATCAATGGAAGCCAGTGGCATCAGTGACTACGATCTTTCGATGGTAATTTACGATAATTGCGGACTAATCAATTGTTGTCTATTAAATTCTATTTACGAGTAGCTTTTCTAGCGTCAAACCGCTGTCCCACGTTTCGGCATACCTCGAAGAAGCTAACGCTTACCAAAGCAACAGTTACCAATGATAACGGTGCACAGTGGGGAAAGCTCCACAAATAGATGGGGAATAAAGAAGCTTTTAGTAGATTAGACTTCATGGCACTGCAGGCGCCATCGATGGTGCAACCGATGCTCCTGCTCAAGGCCACCAAGCCCCCTTTCCCCAGCGGGCAATAGCCCCTAACGGTACGAGGCCACACGCCTTGCAAATCTATCTGTGGAAAGGCAGCACGGCAGTGCTGGCTTGTCTAATTGATACGCTCCAGCAAGGGATCTTCTTACTGGATGGCCTACATGCAGCAATTTTCCGGAAAAAACCATTAAGGGGGCGGGTGTGCAGATTAAGCTTACATTAAAATTGTCCTTACGAAGGCACAACGAAATCAAATTGAGCCGTTTACTTCGTTTAAAGCTGCGCCAAGCTAAGTTACAGGAAGCCCTCGCTGCCATCTTGTAAAACGGGCCGCGAGTAAGCGTATACGTGTGTGTGTGTATGTGTAACCGAAAGCTAACGGGACATATCACCACACAGCTAGGAGTAGCTTCCCTGAGTCGCGTTCGTTGACTTAATAAATGCTGAATGAAAGTTTGTTCAAGAGTTCCTCAAAATGGCCAGTTGCTGTTGCCGGCCTTGTCTGTACCTGATTATACCCGTATATTTTCCATGGCCAATGCAATGAGCGAGCTCATCCTGTGTATCGCTAATCCTGACCCTGAGACGGAGCTTCACATTACTAGTTTCACCTGCACGCGCCACTGATTATTGCGTATAAAACGCTAGAGGTTATATTTGCGCACTGGCCATTCTGGATCTGCTGCTAATCACTAGCGTCCTTCGAATTCTTGAAATATAGAGGTACGCAGCAACAGGCATCATTAAAAGTTTCCATTTTCCACATTCAAATTGTTGTCGTACAAAAGTTTACGGCTACAAAAGCAAATTGAAATGGCCAAAAAAAGCTGGTTAGTATGAGCCGATAGTATTGTTTTAAATTATCTTTGGGAGGTTATAATCGATATGGGACAGCTAGCTTACGCTGTTGGCGCAAAATTTCTCGTTTGAATTTGATTTCTATTACAGAATATGACAAACATAGGGGGTCCTAGTACCTAGCAATTTTAAGCCAAATATAAAAAGCTAGGAATATGATTTTCAATTAACCCATTGTCGATCAGTGGGAATTAAAATACTATCTACGATCATGATAAACATTCAAAAACTTGAGCGTATTTTAGGTAAAAGATATCGTGGTATTTTTATATACAAAAATTAAGGATGGGGTGGACCTAAAAGAGTAATTATTTGTATTATTATTGGTATTGTTTTCAGCGGTTTAACTAAAATTATCCAGTTTAAATAAAGGAGGCTTAAGTGTGCTATGTTCGTTTTTTCATCGGTATGTTTGCAGTATTTCTGAGGGTCAGACGGTCACACTGCAGCTCTCCTCTAACGAACAAATTAGCCGTAATTTTGAATGGTCTATAAAAAAGGGTATGGACAACAGTCAAAAACAGCCAATGCAAAATGCCAGGTTCGTAGGAACCACACCTCGCGTGTCAGGATAGTCGGCTTTGTTTCTTCAAGGTATATTGGGCCAATGGGGTGGATTTCACATTGCATCCGTTGCATTTTCTGAGGCGTTCTACGTGTTGCTTTTCTACACTCTCTCTTTTCCACCATTATGTAGAAAGTGTGTAGCATATGTGTAGTAACCGTGTAATTTTTCTCTCCAACGATTTTTTCTGGTGAACAGCTGTGAACGCGCGGGCAAAAGAAAAATCCATTTGTTTACACAGTTGATTTCCTTTTTTTTCTATTGTAAACCTTTGTTGCGAAAACAACGATAAAGTTAATTGCATTATAACGAGCCTGATTACAGATTACAGAGGTGAGTAACCGACAACGCACCAGCCGCCTCATCAAACACTTAGCCGAGCCTTTGTTTTCATTGCGTGCCTGCATCAGCTGGTGCAATAATATAGCATAGTGGCGTATCGTATCAACTAAATTCGAGAGATACTACATGCCCAGACCTTTATCAGCGTTTAGTCGACCACTTTGTAGCCCACATTCACGCTTCGAATCAGTTATTTGCTAGAGGCGTGCGCGTGCGGCAGTGTTTGGCTCTTGATACTCTCCGGAACGCAAAATCCATAACCGATTCTCATTTCAGCAGCGGAAAGATGCGCCCGTTTTCCGGCAACGATTGCTTAAAGCCCGTCACCGAGGGCATCAATCGCGCCTTCGGTGCCCGGGAGCCCTGGCAGGTGGCCACCATCACCGCCACCACAGTGCTCGGCGGTGTCTGGCTCTGGACGTTTGTCTGTCAGGATGAAAGTGAGTTTCCACTGAGAGAGAGGTCTTCTCAAAATACATCACTATCTACAAGTAGGCAAAAGTCAGGCCACCTAGTGTCTGTCGATTCCTTTCACGCCGTTGTCGGCGGCGTCATAAATTATAATCCATCAAACAATCTTATCTGCCACGGCTTGCACTTTCCTACGCAGCCCACCAAGTAAATACCCAGCCTAGCCGGCCCATTTTTGTAGTTTTTCTCAAGAAATCGAAATCGGTACCTATGTATACCCATGTACTATGTACTTTGTTCCTTATATAATAGAGTTCGAGTGCCATGCACCCGTTGTGTGCCCTTCCTGAACTTTTGTTTAATCTGGGAACAGATTACAATAGATTAGAAACAAAATTTATATATACACAACAATTTATATATAGCCAAACGGCATAGCTTCTGGCTTCGATAAGAATATCCGCTAATCTGCTAGTTGGAATTTAGTTTTCAATAGGCTCTCCCTTGTAGCTCCTTTATCAGTCAGGTGGTACCTGTTCGGAAACACAAGAGATTTCTTATGACTAATCCCCTAAATGGAAAACGTTTTACGAATTCCAAAATTGGAATTACAATCGGTTTTCTAAAGCAACCAGTTGGAACCCGAATTCTTGGAAAAAGTTCCTTTCCGTTCGGCAACTTCGCACAAGACCTGTCTGGCTTCCACGATATGCTATCGTGTTTCAGCGACTACCGATCGACACATTCTCATTATAAAATGATTCATCATTTTATTTCATGGTTCGATACGCCTTTAGATAAGCATGCATTAGGTTATTCGATAGGGGAATATTGAAATTAGTTGATCAGGCGATCATTCCTCCATCGCTTTGTTTGTTGCAGGTCTCTACACGCGTGGCAGGCGGCAGTTCTTCAGGTTCGCCAAGAAAATACCCGCAGTTCGGCGACAGGTGGAGGCGGAGCTTACCAAGGCCAACAATGACTTCGAATCGGCGATCAAGGAGAGCAACGCACACCTCACATACACGGTGACGCTGCCCGAAAAGGGTCTGAGCAAGGAGGTGATCCTGAAGCTGGTGGACGACCATCTAAAGACAGGTCACTACGAATGGCGCGACGGTCGCGTCTCCGGTGCCGTGTACGGCTACAACCCGGAGCTGGTGCAGCTCGTGACGGAGGTCTATGGCAAGGCGTCGTACACGAATCCCCTCCACGCGGACCTCTTCCCGGGCGTCTGCAAAATGGAGGCCGAGGTGGTGCGTATGGCCTGCAATCTGTTCCATGGAAGCAACGACAGCTGCGGCACCATGACAACCGGCGGCACCGAGTCCATTGTGATGGCCATGAAGGCATACCGGGACTACGCTCGCGAGTACAAGGGAATCACCAGGCCGAACATAGTCGTGCCCCGCACCGCGCACGCAGCCTTCGACAAGGGTGGCCAATACTTCAACATCCATGTGAGATCTGTGGACGTCGATCCGGAGACCTTCGAGGTCGACATGAAGAAGTTCAAGCGTGCCATCAATAGGAACACCATTCTGGTGAGGATTGACCCATGTTTCCTTAATTTATCCCCACTAATTCTACCCTTATGCCGCCCCAGCTGGTTGGCTCTGCTCCCAATTTCCCCTACGGCACTATCGACGACATCGAAGCCATCGCCGCTCTGGGCGTAAAGTACGACATTCCCGTCCACGTGGACGCCTGCCTGGGAAGCTTTGTGGTGGCACTGGTCCGCAATGCCGGCTACAAGCTGCGTCCCTTTGACTTTGACGTTAAGGGCGTAACCAGCATCTCTGCCGACACGCACAAATACGGATTTGCTCCAAAGGGATCGTCGGTGATCCTGTACTCTGAGAAGAAGTTCAAGGATCACCAGTTCACAGTGACCACCGACTGGCCTGGCGGCGTCTACGGCTCACCCACCGTAAATGGTTCCCGTGCCGGAGGTATCATCGCCGCCTGCTGGGCCACCATGATGAGCTTCGGCTACGATGGCTATTTGGAGGCTACCAAGCGCATTGTGGACACGGCTCGCTACATTGAGAGGGGGTAAGACTGGGTACGAATGCACTTGGACTACGGCTGACCTTATCGAAACTCCACAGGGTTCGCGACATCGATGGCCTGTTTGTGTTTGGCAAGCCAGCCACTTCCGTCATTGCCCTCGGATCGAATGTGTTTGATATCTTCCGACTGTCGGACTCGCTCTGCAAGCTCGGCTGGAACCTGAATGCCCTGCAGTTCCCCTCTGGGTATGATAGATCTATTAAAACCATAGTAAACCATGCTTAATATTTGGTATTCTGTCTACCAGTATCCACATCTGCGTCACGGACATGCACACCCAGGCCGGAGTGGCAGACAAATTCATTGCCGACGTTCGCAGCTGCACGGCGGAGATCATGAAGGATCCTGGCCAGCCCGTGGTGGGAAAGATGGCCCTGTACGGCATGGCCCAGAGCATACCCGACCGCTCGGTAATTGGCGAGGTGACCCGCCTCTTCCTGCACTCCATGTACTACACGCCCAGCCAGAAGTAGACATCTGCCTCCGGCTACTCTTCCTACTGCTCCCACCCATGCAAGCATTTCATCTGCAGTGCTACTGTTTTTAGAACCACCTAGAACTCCGTGTTATCCAAGCAATATTTATATATACCTGCAATTAGAGCTGTAATCGAGGGTACAAAAAGTGTCATCAACAAAGTTGATTCTGTCTACGATATAATCCTACCAACCGGAGGCATTCTTTCCTCAAAGAGCTATTTTATTAAAGTGATTGTTCTGTGTAAAGTGTTAGCAAAATATAAGTATAGTACATTTTGTATACTCATCAGTCTATTAAGAATTTATCTCAATTCTCTCGATTCTTGATCAATTTGTTGCCTTTTTCTTAAATTGTCGTGTACATTTGTTCCCCAAACAATTAACCATACTCGTAATTGCTTCAGCGTGGGCCCCTACATTCCGGTCTGATCGGATCTGACCCGATCTGGTGCGATCTGTCAGACGCTTTGCCACGCGTCGGCGTTTTAATTTAGCTGTTGCCCACCTGACACGCCCATTTCCTTTGTGTAATTTATGCCGATTTTCTCGGGGTCTGTTCAAATTGTTTCAAATAAATTTCAGTAGCGGAAACATTCATCTAAACGACTGCCAGCCAGAATCCCGTGGACACGCGTCAGGTGTCATTTTGTCAGAAGAAATTAAAAAAAAATTAAAAATAGCCAAAAAGCGAGCAACAAGTGTCATTCGGCGGAGGTGGAGATCAATTGGAGTCATCCATTTGGGAGTGCAACAAAGGCGAAACCTGTCACATTAAAAAGATGCCCACGCTGACACCCCGCTACCCCACCTTCTGCCCTCCAATCCTCTGTCTTCCCTGCAGGCCTTATGGGCTCGCATTATGGCCCCAACAAATTCGGCTCAAACCAGGTTGCCAAAAAAGTTCACTTCGTAGTGACGCAGCTCTGGACGGAGCCCCAGCGAAGCCGACGCGCAGCTGAGCGAGGGCGGAACAGAGAGCCGGGCAGAGGCAGAGGCAGAGAGCACCCCAATGGCCTCAGAGACGCGGAGCGGCTCATTCGTTTCGCGCTCGTTGAATCGCCGAGACGTTGGAGTCGCCGTCGTCGCTGTCGTTGTCGTCGCGTGTGTGCAGCAAACAACAAAATAAAATAAGATAATAAATATTTTTTTGAGAAAAAATAAAACCTGATTTCTTCTAAAAATTGCATAAATAACATAAATTTCAAAATTAAAGCCCGATAAAACTCGCTGAAGTAAAACTTTCCTCATTGTTGGGGTCAGCAGTTTATCAAAAGGGGAAGGGGGAAAGTGGCGCCCAGAAGGTTGATCCCACTTTTCCGTTCTACCTGTGTGAGTGCGAGTGTCTGTGTGTATGGGTGATTGTGATATGATATATGATATGAGAGGGCTTTAATCCATCTCAAGGGGGAGCTCCATTGACCGGACTTTGAGGATTTTCAATTACTTAGAGCGCCAGCCACTCTCCCAAAGGAATACTCGTCCGCCCCAAGGTAAGTTTGAAGCTCATTTCCGATTGGAATTTGTTGATAAGTTAAATAGCTATATTAATAGCCAATTATTTAGTCACCATTATAGCCATGAATTGTTCATTAGCAGTTTTTTCAGTATCGATAAGGTAAACATACAGAGAGACCCACCTATGGAGAAGTAAACATCTAGAACTCGAGAGCAAACAACTAGTAAAACTCTAGCTATAGGAAAGTAAACACCAAGTGGTTCTCTCGAGTCGAGATCGTCATTTTTGAAGTACTATAGACAGTACTGTAGATGAGGTATCTATCTAATGATGGGAAAGGTTTCGTAGCGGAAGTGTGTAATTTCTTTAATGGAATACTAGATCGAGTCTAAAGATATCGGATATCTCTGTACCTTCTATTTATTCTAGTGCTCTTTTCTATTTATTTACCTCTTTTTTCATTCACTATTTGTACAACTTTCCATTCTCACTAGACCCATATATCTTAGCCTTAACTTATCATCGTTTATTCTTTCTCCTGACATATCTCCACCTTGAATTTGCCTTATCATCCCCAGAGTCGAATAAATATAGCGCAGGTATTGGAAACAAAATATTAAATTAATGCGCAAAATTTATTTATCCAGCACTCATATGGGAGAGATTCCCATTCCCAGACCTCATCCGCGTTGGTATTATGTTTGCATCTTGATAGGCTCGGACAGAGCCCAGCGTAGAGATAAGGTTCTCCGGTCGCTCAGTTTCTCTTTTGATTTTTGCCTACTACCATGAATTTGTTTTATCTATCCGATAAGATATGGCCAGGGACACACATACCATATATGTGTGGGGTCTTGCTCTAGTTTTTGGCTTTGGTTGGCTCTTCTTTGGGTTGGTTGTTTGGTCAAAGTTGGCATGCAAGGGGGGCAATCAATGGGTGCTTCCCGGCTGGATCAGATGTGTTTGGTCAGATAAAAGGAGTAGGGACAACACATGGCAACCCAACTGGATCCACATATGGGTGGAATCGCTCCATGGCAACCGCTGCCCCAGCCGGGCACAACAAGTCCACTTAAAGTTGTTTGCCGCACAACAACAGAAAACAATAGAAGCAAAAACAACAACAACCCGGGGCAACCCCCAGTCCCCAGGCCAAAGGACATTACATCCACCGCCGACTGGCCAGCTGGGTGCGGCTTTAGTGTCTGGCGTCATTATACCATTTATAGCCATGTTTTCCGAGAACTTTCGCTCCTCCCTTCAGGGTGTTTAATCGATAAACCCACAGTGGCCCGAGGAAACTCCTTTCGGCCCGGCATTTCGCCATTTCATTGCCGGCTCCTCGGTCGCCATTTGTGTGCTAATTGCAGATCGAGGCTAAGTAACTGATTTGCTTATGGGGGCAAGGGATTGGGAGTCAGTGTGGGGGTGTTTACTGTACCCAAGCCAAATGGCTTGGACTCGTTAACTTTGACGTTAATTAGTTTTTGGAATTTCGCGAGGCGACGCAGTTGAAACATGTGGCAGCATGAGTTGGCATGGAATGTGGTTAGCCCTGGTAGAGAAGATCAGCAAGGTAGAGGGGAGTAATTGGTAGTTTTCCCCAATGGAAATTTATTAAAAATTTAAAACTTGAATGCAGATCTAAGGATAATCATAATAATAAAATACAGAGGAAATTATTTAGAAAATATGAATACATATACATATGAAATACCTATCTGTATCTCTAATAACTTATTTCAAATCGCAATCCCTGGCAGTTCCAGCAATAAATACCAATCAAGCAATCATCAGTTTCTGCTTTTGCCTTAGTTTCTGTGGGGTTTCCTTCCCGCTCCGTCCACAAAACAAAAAAAAAACGCAACATATTTCACAGTTGGTAAATATTTTCCATGCATAGTTGCAACGCTCCAAAAAGCCCAATAAGCGGCAATCACAAGAGGCAGGCTGGCAAATGCTTTTCTATTGCTTTCAGCAAGAGATTTGCATAAGGCTACAGATATGCACACAGATACTATTTAGGGGATACATGTATGCATGGGTAGAGCTGCAATTAACATCAAACACGGGCGGTGTACAGACAAATACTTATTGACAGAGTCGCGTCCGTTCTCTGATTTGAAATTGAGATCCGGCGAACGGAACAGAACACGCCTCCGAAAGTGTTTTTCGTTTCGTCTCAAGATTCTGTGTGTAACCTTCGCACGACTAGTCGACTCTACTCTCGACTCTCGAGTCGATTGACGTGCTGTCGAGTTCTAAGCAAACCCCGTGCGACGGGACGGGGCTTAGATGATTACCGAATGACATCAGCACTGGGAACAAAGCAGAGTCTCCAAAGTGTGACTTCAACCTGTTCGAGTACGGCTACGGGTCTGGCTACGGGTGCTGCTCTTCATGGCTTTCTTCTTCAACGGATCCAGCGAAAGCCTGTTGCCTCAATTATAATACATCTACCCATAATGATCTCCCCCCTCATAATGATGATCTAACAGGTGGGAACTGCGGTTAATCGGTTTCGGGTACTGTGAGTGGATCATGTTCGCGTTAATTGTGCGGTTTGTGTGGGGAAGGGGAAATATGCTGACAAATTGCCCGACAGAGCAATGAAAAACAACTTTAATTGATACAATTGAAAGTCAATGTTCACATTGATTGGTTAACACCATTAGCATTTGATTTTCTAATGCACATTCTATGCAAATACTGGCAAAGTGGAATATCTAACAAGTCTCATAAGCACACCCTTTCTAAGTACTCAAGCCCTCGAATCGCCTTTATCTGTGGACCCAGGCGATTCCTTTGGGCATATCCATAACAAATAAAAAAAAGGAAAAGAAACATATGCACATGTCTCTTATCTACTCTTTCGTGAAATGAGATCTTGTAAGCCGACACCTCGTACAGCTGGTGGTGGGGACGCCACGTGACCTTCGACAGCAACGAAAGACAAGACAATGTCCACTCCAGTGCACTTATTTTCCCTCTCTCTGGCATCTGTTAGTGGGCCAAACCGAAAGTGATGCGGAATGGCCATGCCATGTGGGGCATGTGCAACGACTGCATTTGAAGGTGAGCTTGTCCAATTGGAACGACGACGACAGTCAGACTTGGAGGCAGACAGCTGTCACAAGCTCTTTGGGGGACCAGCTCCAAGTGGGCTTTTGTTTACATCGCCTTTGGTTCAATGCTCTGTGGCAAGAAGTGGGTTCAATATTTGTGCCACATTTCAGTTCCACGTTCTGTTCTCCCGTCCCATCCCTGTGTGAGCTTGCAGCGCTTGGAGCCGAGCTTAAAGCTTGAGTTGCGAACGTGGGAGTTGCATGTTTGATTCGAATTTCGGAATGAAGAAATATCTAGATACGGTTCGTCAGCGTCTCGGTATGCCTCGAGTGGGTGGTAAATCATGATGATGTTTCTCCAAGAAAACGATGAGATGTGATATTCATAAATAAATAAATTAGCCAAATAAGGAAACCAGTTTGAAGTGGAAGATTTGGTGGGCATGACTTTTAGGATTGTAACAGAGCTATTTGCCCCCCTCCCATGAATCTCTCCAAGCCGCACAATCAGGAGCCTCAATTGCGTTACTCATGACTGGCGGGGAGACTCAGAGCACGTCCTCAAACAGCAGCCCTATCCCAATATGGCCCTCACATTTATGACTGTTCCGAAAACCACTTCATATGCATAACAGAACATTTGGACTGGACTTGTGAGGGTGCGGCAGGGTAGGAAAACCTTTCAACTCGAATTATGCACAATAATCTTACATAAATTTAGGTCTTATCTGTGCGTAGACCCCGAAGGAAACCAGTAATTTGGTGGAA